TAGGGAACAAACATAAGCTCCATGGGAGAGAGTTGGGGGGAATTGAAGGAGCAAGGTCATCCTGTCAGGGGTAACCATGACGGCTGGAGCACTACAGCTACACAGGCAGGTGTGGGACAGCAGCCAGGTTCTCACTGAAATTTCTCTGTAAAACCTAGGCATTTTTGGCCTCAGGCTGTATCATTCCACTAGGCCTTACCAGTTAGGACATCCCGATCATGGACTGTTTATTTGTATGTCTCCTCAGTTGGATTGTGAACTTCTAAAGGCCAAGAGCCTTCTTTTCTTCTCTCAGCGGAAATTATTGAACAATTGTTATGTGCTCCCCTCTGTGCCAACTGCTGATATAAAATACTGGGTAACACATAGCTCTTGCTTTCAAGACGCAAGCAGATCTTGGATGGTACACCACTTTGCATTCAACTAACGTATGCTGAATGAAGGAAAGAAATATGGATGAAACAGCTTGGAGGAGTGGACGGATCGTACTGAGAGAGCCTGGATGCAAACTGTAAACGTGCATAAGATACTTACGTCAATTTCCTTAGCTGCAAAAATGGGGAAAATAATCCCTACTTCATACGGTTGCCAGGATGATTACCATATACATATATAATGTTGTTAATGAATGAGAATCTAATGTTCCAGCAAAGTTTCAGGGTATCTATCCATGCCCCCAAAAAGGTAATACATTCTATCTTGCATCAATGATATCTAGTACTTTTCCCATGTATTTTTACTTAGTGTGTCATTTGATTTTTCTCCAGCTTCCTAATGTAGGCAGGACAGGGAGGGGAGGGGTCTCAGGTGGGGCACAAGAGCAGGAGACTAAAGTCACAGAAGAACAGGGTGGTGGTTGGTGAAGCTAGACTAAACCCCAAGATTACCTGTCTCCCAGAGCCCTGTATTTACCACCACAGCCATGCCAGGCACATCGAGTGAAAATGGTCCCTTCCAGGATATGGGGTGGTCTGCTCACAGTTACAGATCTATATGACTCATTGTCCTCAAGAGTCCATTTTGCCCCCAAATTTGGGGAACTCTATGTCTGCAAAATATTACAACACGGCTTCATTTTAGAGTAGAATGGAAAAAAAAATGATCATTATCATCCTAACAACTGGTGCTAATGTGCCCCAAGCTCTGTTCTAACGACTTTTAAAATAGGAACTCTATTCTTGTAGCAATTCTTACTAGTCTCACAGGTAGGTTCTATCACTTCCCCCATTTTACACATTAAGAAGCCAAAGGAATAAAACGGTTGAGGGGCTTGCACAAAGTCACATAGCTAGTTGGTGGCAGAACTGGGATTTGAACCGAGGGGGTCTGGCTCTAGAGGTCTCAATTTTAATGATTTTGTTATGAACAATTAGACAAAACATGAAAATTCAAAGGCATTTTATCTTTTTTGATGACTTGATGGCATACGGGCTATGGTTATTCTGTTGTTTACTGTGTGACTGCACACAGAAGTGATTTTTTTAAAGATTTTGTTTATTTATTTGACAGAGAGAGACACAGCGAGAGAGGGAACACAAGCAGGGGGAGTGGGAGAGGGAGAAGCAGGCTTCCCACTGAGCAGGGAGCCCCATGCGGGGCTCGATCCCAGGACCCTGGGATCATGACCTGAGCCAAAGGCAGACACTTAACGACTGAGCCACCCAGGTGCCCCTACAGAAGAGATTTTTAAGGACCACTTGTGTGTGTGTGTGCGTGTGCGTGCGTGTGTGTGTGTGTGGTGCACATGCATGCGCACGTGCATGAGTGAAAGAGCGTGAGCATTTCACAGTGTGTGCAAGTTTAGCTTAATTAAAATGGGAAGAGTATTAAGTTATTTTTTAATTTTTTTATTGTTATGTTAATCATCATATATTACATCATTAGTTTTTGATGTAGTGTTCCATGATTCATTGTTTGTGCATAACACCCAGTGCTCCACGCAGAACGTGCCCTCTTTAATACCCATCACCAGGCTAACCCATCCCCCTACCCTCCTCCCCTCTAGAACCCTCAGTTTGTTTTTCAGAGTCCATCATCTCTCATGGATCATCTCCCCCTCTGACTTACTCCCCTTCATTCTTCCCCTCCTGCTATCTTCTTCTTTTTCTTTTTTCTTAACATATGTTGCATTATTTGTTTCAGAAGTACAGATCTGTGATTCAACAGTCTTGCACAATTCACAGCGCTCACCATAGCACATACCCTACCCAATGTTAAGTTATTTTTAAATGCAGCAAAGATCAGGGGGGGTACTAGAATGAAATTCGTTGTATGAGGCTGATTGGCAGGCCATGTCACGTGGGAAAGTTCATAATCTCGTCTTTATCAGCACAGGTTGCAAAATGCCTGGGAGCTGTGGCCCCAAACCCATAGTCTGGAGCTATAATTATTCAAGAAAAAAAAAAGTAATTGGAAATGTGATAAGCGATGATTAGAAGGCCTATTTCAGGAAGAAAATGAACAGAATGAGCAGATGCTAATTGCGACGACTTTTGTGAACAAGGGTGGACGGACTAGTTGAAATGAAAAGTTTCCTGTCTGTCACCTAGGGGAGGGATTTCCCTCAGGACCGCAGCCTCAGTGTGCCATCTGCAAAGGGAGCTTACAACAAAACCCACCGCCATAAAACAGAACCTCCTGAGCACAAAGAGTGCCTGCATTCGAAAGCTGGTGACCGGTGCGAGAACCCGCGTCCCTCCTGAGGGCACTTGGGAGACTTACTGCCAGCCGGGAAGGCTCCTGACCTTGCAGTAGCCAGCACTGAAATAACCTCGGCAGAACAGAGCCTGCGAAGGGGATCAGAAGACCTTGGCTCCTGTTTTGGCTGAAGCGCTTGGGCTGGAGCCCAGAGTCCATGTGCCTTTGAGGAATGACTTTCTCTCTCTGGGCTCCCTTATGGCCAACTCCCTCCCCTCCAGCGCAAACTACATTTTCCTCTTCCATATTTTAGGCTAACGAAGAATCAGGATCTGGAGCATGCCAGAGGCTCCCCCATGGTGTCTTACACTAGCTTTATTTTGTGTTCAAGGAGGGAGTGTGGGCTCTGGAGTCTCATGGCTTCAGTTCAAATCCCAGCCTAAAGATTGCCAACTGTGGAACTCTTAAGAATAACTCACTGTCTGCCTCAGTGTCCTCATCGCTAACATGGAGGTAAGGCTACCTCGCAGGTTTGTGGTGACGATTAAAGCAGATGAAGAAGGTAAAACAGAGAATAGTGTTTGATTGCTTCTGAATACCAATACATGTTAGTGATTAATTCGGATTCACATTTGTGAAACCCTGGGCTTAAGGTGTTTTTTTTTCCCCCCCCTACTGCATGTTAAAATAAAAATAGACCCACTAAAACCATGTTTTTAAGGGTTGGCACAATCTGAAGTCATCTGAAGTACCAGTGTACATTTCACCCATTAGGCAACGCTGTCCACACATATTCATTCATCTTTCAATCGTTCTCATCAAGGCTTTAGACAACATTTATCATGTGAGTGGAGAGCAAGCGGACAATAGAGATGCCTCCACTGAGCAAACAGATCCATGATGGAGAGATGAGAACAATGACCATGCCGTGTGTAGATGGAATAGAACATTTCATCATGGTGAGGCCTCTCATTCCACTGGGCAGGCCAGTTTCCTCAGGAAACAATACAAGGTGGAGAAAAGCACCGAGCATGATTCCAAATTATTATTCCAAATTATTCTAAATTCTAGGACAATTTGGCCTTGCACCCAGATTCTGCATCTGTGAGACACTAGGCTTCTTTCTTGAGTTCTCTCAGCATGACTTCTCATCTGTAAAACGGGCACAATATCTACCTCAGGGAACTAGTGGGGGATTAAATGTGATGACACAGCAGGTAGTGAATGAGCGTTCTCCTCAGATTGTCAATACAGGGGGACAGAAACTTCCCTGTTCTACAGGTCTGTAGCATGTGCCCAGATCTCTTCTGTGTTGTAAGTGCTTTCTAAGGTCTACCTCAAAATCTACCTCTTTGTGAAAGAAGTCATTGGTGTACTAACCCAACTTAATGTTGGCCAATATGCATTGCAGGCTTTCCAAGTTCAAGACAATTCGAAAAACCTTTGCATGTATTCCCATCACAATGGTATCTTGTATAGGATGAGACCTGTTTTACATATTTTACCCACTTTACATATAATTAAACTGAGGCATGAAGAGGGTAAGTTATTTACTCAGGTCACATGGCTGGTAAATGGTGGAGCAAGTAACCACTAAAATTGCCAAGCTACCAGGAAGACAGGACAATCACTCACGCCCACAGTAGTATAGGACAATATCATCTAGCTCAGTGATTCTCAGCTGGGAGCAATTTCATCCCCTAGGGGACATTTGGCAATGTTTGGTGACATCTTTGGTTGTCACAGCTGTGGGGTGGGTGTCAGGAAATCTGCCTGCAATGCACAGGACAGGCCCATTCCCCAAACAAAGAATTATCCAATGCAGAATGTCAGTAATGCTGAGGTTTCTAAACCTCAGCATTATTACATTGAATATTTAGAATCTTCACTATTTAGAACTCAGTTGATAACTTAGAAGAAACCAGAGAATCTCTCAGATTCCAAAACAGGTAGCCCAAAGTTTGGGCAGCAAATTATATACATTGTTACCAGAAACCCTTCAAACAATGACCTGGAACCAACTGCCTAAGGCACATTCATCTGGTGATGCAGATAAACCGATTAAAATCCCCAAGCAGGATGCTGTGGCTAAGTAGAAAGGAGGAGGGAGGAACTATGACACATGACAGAAATCAAAAAGATACAGTCAACAGCCTGCTATGTGAGGGAAGAAGAAGATATAAGAAACAGACAGGAGCTCTCAGCAGCAGCGTTGGCTGTGCCAAGGCCTGGAAGAAGCAGTCATGTGGATGGAGGCAGTTCCTGGGACAGGCAAGATGGAGGCCGGGAGACCGAGAGACTTCATGCCCCACCCACCAACGGCATCTGCTACATCTCATATTATGGATCTTTTTGCGATTGCTTTTTTTTTTTTTTTAAAGGACTCGAGACTGTCAGTTGAAGGAGACAATATGGGAAATTTGGAGAGAATCTGTCTTGTGACTTTTCCTGCATAGACTGTAGAATAACCAAGTTTTGAGGTTAAATGGCTTAATTACGATGAATGGGATCAGGAGGCAGGAAGCTGACCTGAGTATTTTTGCTTTATTCCATCTAATAAACATTTTATTTATATAAAAGACAAACAATGCATAGAATGAAAATAAGTGCTTGAGACATTTGATATAAGAAGAGTATATAGCATTCACATTCCTATTTTAATACATGAGTACTGCTGAAGTGTTCCATAAAAGAATAAAACTTTCCCTTTATGTATAGTAGTAAAAAAAAAAAAATCAGTATTTTTAGGAACTACAGAATGTTATTCCTTGGTCTTTTTCTTGACAAAGAAATAAGAAATAAAACAAGCCACAGTATCATCTGACACTACATTCCAGTTTAGGCTGATGACCCCCCAGAAGTGATAAAGCTCTTCTGAATCTTGGAAAATCCCATTAATGGACCAGTATTCTAGAAATTCACCACTAGAGGTCGATGAGCAACAGCTATTGGGACAGCATTGACAAGCCCTAAGGTGCATGGAATTTCTGGGCCCTTCCATGGTATTGGGGGCAAGCTGTCCTGAACTCTCTCAGCCCACACCCACTGAGCAAGGTGCCTACGAGATTCACCTAATCCCAAATCTCAGCGTATCTGCTAAAACTTCAATGAGATGAGATCTTCCAAAATCCAAATGGAACTCTGATCTACTCACTGCCAGTCCTCTCTTATATTCCTAGTTGGCTGAAAATAGGTAGCTTCAAAAACATTTTAGAAAAAGAGATTTTTTTTTTTTTTTGCAGCATTAACACGTATTTGTGGATTAACGAGTTACTATGGAGTATTAAAGCTCATTCTTTGTTCTTGCCCATGTGGACACAGTCTTTCTAACTGTAAATGGGATTCTTGGGTCCCACATTCAAGTCCTCGCTGGCAAATTCTGCAAAGGGCGGGAAAGCTGGTATGGTGGAGAGAAAGATAACCGTGGCAGAAGCTTCTAGGTAAGAGCCGCCCTCCCTAATGCAGGGGTGGGGGGAAAGCTCTTAATATATAGACAAAAATAGATTTGGTTTACCTGGGACCACTTAGAGGGGGTCCCCTTCAGTCCAAAAAAAAAAAAAAAGACCAACTTCAAATCTTAACGCCAGACTAGGAAAAGGGAGGGACTTGAACTCATATAGCCAGAGAATGACTGATGGAAAGAACATTTCTTACAAAAGGCCTTGCTTAGGGGCGGGTTTAATTCCCAGACTGGGGTGGGGCGGGCAGTGGAAAATGCAAATGTTTACGTCGAGAAGTAAAGCAGCTTTATAAGTGGGTCCACACCTTCGTTTTGTGAGTAATGTGGACTGGGGAAATGTGAAAACCATCCGCTGTCTATCCTCACTTGCGGGATCCAGATTTTTTTTTTTTCTTCAAAATCTCCAAATATTTAAAAAGTGGCTCAATTTTGTCAAACGCCGTTCTGGCCAAGCAAAACACATGTTCAGAGTGCCTGAGGAAACAGTTCTGACCATGGCAGAATCCTTCTGACTAGGCCAAAATGTACCTGAGCGTTCAGGAGCCCAGACAGATGGAATCCACCGGTGTTTGCATAGAAAGCTAGAGATTCAAACCAAGCCTGATGAGAAACTCAACACAATGAACCCTGGAAGGGAGATTTGTTCCCTTTAGGGAAAGTAGCATGGGAGAATAGTAACATGGGTATGGGGGCAGGAGGCAGGGGATGGGGATTAAAGGAAAGAAAGAATGGTCTCTCCTTAGTAGAATATGTGGCCATTTCATAAATGGGGAAATTTGTCCTGATTTTTATGCCCGTGAAGGCTGCGAAGGTAAAAAAAAAAAAAATGGGGCTCAAAACTTTTAAGCTCTTAGAGACGGGACAGGGTTTCTGAGCTGGTTGAGGAAGGTGGCTCACAAACCAGATGTGGGCTTGAAGCTCAAGTGAAAAGTCCAGGAGACACAGTGGCACGCAGGAACCCCAGCATCTGGTCCCCAAACAGTGTGACTATAATTGGCTCCATAGCCAGAAAAGTCCCCCCCCCACCCACCGTGCAGGGAATTACTATTTTGCAAAAGCGAGTGCAACGTGGCCACAGCAGGCTCTTGAGACTCGGAGCCCCCTCCTAATGCAGAGCCCTCACCTCGTGTAGGCAGAAAACCAGCGCACGTGTTGATTGTCAAGTGCTAATGCTGTCTCGGATCCCCTTCCTTCTGTGCCTGGTTCCGGAGCTCTCCAAACAAACCAATTTCTTGGGATATTTGATTTTATTTTCCTTGTCTCTTTCCAGAGTATGGCTGTATATATATATAGATATAGACATATATAGATATATATAAAACAGAGCTATTCCATATTTATATACAGGCATTAATAAAGTGCAAATGTTATTGGCTATTGTAAAAATCAATATCATTTCCTGAGGAAGTGCTAACACAGCTTATCCTATGACAATGTCAAAGGCCTAGAATGCTTCATGTCACCCACTCCCGGCTGCTGGTGGTTCTGCTCATGCCCACTGGCTTACAGGGAGGGCAGTAACCCCCTGGGCTTCCAGGAAGCATTGCTTCAGGTTCAGGGGCAGCCTCCTGCTGCCTCTGTTCTTTGGTGACAGGGGCAGCCCCTTCACACGTAGGCCAGCCTGCCCCAGAAGAGCTATTTGGTAGTGTTCGGTGAGCCATCTTCCGGGATCTTCTCCTCGGAGCAGCTCCTCCCTGAGAGCCTGTCCAGGTGCTCCAGTTCGCTGAAGCGCTCCGCCACGCACTGGGCCGTGAGCCGGGCCTCGGGGTCGTGGTCCCAGCACTCGGTCAGAGTCTCGCACACCGTCTGGATGCCCTGCAGTGGGAGAGAAGGCACAGACCCCCTGAGCTGCTGGTCTGCGGGGCTCCACGGATGGCAGGGTGGCCCGCTGCCCTTGCTCCTGCAGGGCAGGCTGGGTGCCAAGGAGCCTGTGCGTGCCCACATCCCACTGAGCACCCGCTGGGGGGGTGGCCGGTGGGGGGGGGCAGCCACTTGTCTGTGGAACCGAGGGGCGTGCACTGTCCTGGAAGCCTGCTGCACCCATTTGCTCTCGGGCGCCATTTGATCACGACAGGTCGTGAAATGGGAGAGCCGGCACGTTTGGTCACAGTAAGGCCTCTCCAGTAGGCCTCTGGGGTACAGTAGCAGCCCCAATACTGGAAAATTCCCACAAGGAGTGGCCCCTAATGCCCTGTCACCCTTGCCCTAATTTTTTTAGAGCACTTTCTGGTGTTCTTGGTTTGGGTGGTTTTAGGTTCATAGCAAAATTAAGTGGAAAGCACAGAGGTTTCCACATACCTCCTCCTGCCCACCACGGACATCTTGCATCCGTGTGGTATATTTGTTCCAATCAATGAACCAACACTGACACATCACTCCCAACCAAAGTCCACAGTTTATGTTGAGGTACGTGTTAGGGGTTCTGACAAATGTACAACGACCTGTACGCACCATTATAGTATCCCACACAGTAAGTTCCCTGCCCTAAAAATCACCCGTGCCCTACCACCCCTTCTTCTTCCTCCCTTCCTTGAGCCCCTGGAGACCACAGATCTTAATGCCTCTGTGGTTTTGCCTCTCTAGGGTACCTTATAGTTGGGATCGTAGACGCATTTCTATTTAAACAGCACTGAATACCGCAATCAGAGAGAAGTCTAGGCTTTAGTCTGGTTTTACCTTGTAAAGTCCAAGCTTCCAACTGGTGCCAAGGGTGGTGCCCAGGGCCCCACTGTCCCCCAGCAACATCAAGCCGCACTTCAGAAGCAGCTGTTTTGTGGGTCAGCTGGGCTAGACTCTAGGCTATGTCAGAGGGTTTAGTCCAACCCCATGAAGGCCCCATTCGAAAGGCCCATCCAGGAAATGCTGCCCAGTATGGTGGCAAGGGTCTTCTCCCAGGGCTGTAATTTTTGTTTTGCATTGCAAATATTTTTATCATTTCAAGCCCTTTTTTTGCAATAAAGCAGGCAGGGGGTAAACAGATGGGCAGAACTAGAGCGTGCTCCTGGCAATTAGAAGCTTGCATGGTCACTGGTGATTCGTCACACAAGTGGCCCAGGTGGACCGGATATATCCCAGTACTTTCCCCTTCAACATCTACTACCAATAACTTTCCCAACACACCTAGGAGCCTCTCCCTCCCTTCCCGACCTGTGAGTGAATTCATGATGTTGAGTTAATTGTATAATTCACCTAATTGACGGTATTGATTGATGGCCTGTTAAGAGTGGAGTGGTATTGTTGGTACACAAGTAACATTTATTTTACTCTGGCACTGTAATTACAGGCAGTAAATTAAATTAAATATTAAGCATTAACTTGAAATCAATAGGGCAACAAATCTCATTAAGAGAAAAAAATGTATTATGCAAATTCTTTCCAGAATTTTATCATCATGAATAATGGCTTCATTACAAGAACTGTACAGCGGAGGAGGCAACAGAGTCTGAGAGAAATAACACCAGGGTCTTCTGATTTCAGAGGTAACACAGAGCAGTCTTGCATTTTTCAGTCAGAGAGACTTTGCCCAAAACCCCGGGGGGAAGCCCTGGGCTACCATGGCCTGGTTCATGCTCTCTCCGCGGACTTTATTAGGGTCTGTCTGCTGAAGTGGCTCCAGGCCAGGATTGGCACAGACCGGGCTTCCTGCTCCATCTGTCTTCCTGATTGTGCGTGATTTGTTGTTTCTGTTTCTTATCTCAATTTGCCTGGCCCTGAGGAAAACCTATGACTTAGTCCCAGCCTTGACTGGATAAGGGAATTCTTCCAAAGGAGGCAATAAAACAATTTACTCCGTAGAAAGATCAGCTCTGTCAGTGAGAGAGGAGTGCACTGTTCTCTCTTGTTCTTTCTTCACGCTGTCTCCGGGGTATGTCACATGGCCCTGCCGCCCACCGCTTTCTTCTTTTTCTCTGACCACTGCCCTCATCAAAATGCTCCCAAGCAAAGAAGTTGGATAGTTCTCCCTCACCCTGTTAAGTCCAGAACCGCTGTCCTTCCATAGCTGGCCTTACCTACCCTCTCTTGAAAGGAAAAAAGCGGCAGCCATGGAGATGTTCCCCACAAACACATTTCCTATTTGTTCACTTGCACTTTCCTACTTCTCTTGGCTTTCTTTTATTCCCGAACTGGCCTCCTCTTTGCAAACTCTGTGCGCCCAGCCCACATATGGCCCTGAGCACACGGCAGTGCGCCCCCCCCCCCCGCCCAGTCCAGCTGGCTGACAAACTCTGCTTACTTCTCACTCTGCTAAGTATTTCCTTCTAGAGGGGAAGATTCCCAGGAGAAAATATTTGGAACCCAGAAGGGAACAAAACAAAAGCACTCTACGCAAAGGCTTGGGGGTGAGGGGCAGAGGATGCAAACAAAATATTTTAACCCAGAAACAAGCGGGCTTGCATAGTGGGACAGATGCCCTTCCAATGATTGTTTGAGAGCCCTCTTTGAATGGAGTATCTACCTGCTGGTTGGAACTTAGAAGAACAGGTCCACACTTGTTGATGAAATTTTCTTAATAAACAAACCCTAACAGGATCACAGAACACAAAGGGACCTGCCCTCAGATTGAAGCCCAATAACCTAAAATTCTCTCCTCCCTCCGAGGCTGCTTCAGATAAATCTTATTCTCCCCTCCAAACGGCCACTCCTTACCTGGTGGTTGAGCCAGGAGCTGGGGATTTCTGGTCGCCCTCGGTCTCTCAGCACGTTGTCTTTCATGCTCTCAACACAGGGATGCTCCCGCACCTTGGAGCCAAATGGAGGCTCGTAATCTTTCACTTCTGTTAAAGAGAGAAACACAGGGCCATTGAGAAGGGCGTGTGCAGCTGGGGACGTGAGCAGGTGGAGAGGTCTGGCTGAGTAGCCTGAGGCATTGAGCATCAAAATATACCTGTGATCACTCTGAGAGCAATTTTTAAGAATAGTAGATTAAAATAAGAAGGAAGGAGGGGTTGTGGAAAGAGCTTGAGAAATATTCAACAGATAACCGTTGAGGGCTTGCTACGTGCTACGTCCTGTGCTAACAGTTGGGGACAGTGAAGAACGGGACCAACAAGGTCACTGAGCTTTCATTTTATTTATTTCTTAAATTAATTAATTCATTGATGATTTTAGAGATAGTGAGAGAGAGAGAGAGAGAGAGAGAAAGCACGAGTAGGGGGAGAGCAGAGGGAGAGGGACAAGCAGACTGCGCTCTGAGCTCAGAGCCTGCCCAGGGCTCGATCCCACAACCCTGAGATCACGACCTGGGCAGAAATCAAAACTCGGATGCTCAATGGACTGAGTCACTCAGGCCCCGCCCGAGGTTACATTTTAATGCAGGCATTCTCAGTGGGGTGATGTTGCTCCAAGGGGGGCAAAACTGGTTCTTGGGAGGTAGAAAAATCTTACATATTACACTGGTTGGTAGCCCTACAAAGGCCCCAGGACATAAGCAGGTTTAATATGTGGTGGTTAAACTTCATGGGGATATCCAGCCTAAAAGGGAATGAAATTCTGACATGTTACAACATGGATGAACCTTAAGAATGTTCTGTTAAGTGAAATAAGGCAGTCGCACGAGGACAAACACTGCATGATTCCATTTATGAGGTACCTAAAATAGACTAATTCATAGAGACAGGAAGTAGAAGAGTGATTGCCAGGGACTGGGGGATGAAGAGACGGAGGGCTGTTGTTTAATGGGTACAGAGTTTCAGTTGGGGGGGGATGAGAAAGTTCTGGAAATAGATAACGGGGATGGTTGCACAACACTGTGAATGTACTTAATGCTAGTGAATTCTACACTTGAAAAAGGCTGAAAGGGTGAATTTTAGATTACGTTATTTTTCCATGAAGGAAAAAAAAAATTGATGTGGAGTACCGGTTAAGAAGAAAAAAAATGTCAGGGCGCCTGCCTGGCTTAGTCCATACAGCATGCGACCCTGGATCTCAGAGTTGTGAGTTCAAGCCCCACGAGGGGTGTGGAGCCTACTTAAAAAAAAAAAAAAAAGGCAAAGAAAACGTCTATAAAGGCTCCTTACCATAGCAATGATGACACAAATGTTGAGCAATGCTATTTACTAGGATGACGGAGGAGAGAGATGAACAACGCATCAACAAACAAAATTATAAAGGTACTTTTCCTTTAGTGATACATGGGACAAAGAAGAGAAGAGAGAATGATATACCCCCCTTCCCTAGGGCTTCAGGTTTCCACTAAGGTCAATCTCTTTATAGAAACTTCCTTGAATAGCCCCCAAGCCATTTGTGGCTAGATGTCCCGGGCAGAGCTTTATTTTAGCCTGTATCATATTTTGATATAATCACATGTTTATTTGCCTCATCTAAGCAGACCATGAACATCTGAGGGCGGGTTCTGACTCCCTTTTGTCATTCTTCTACACGCGAGGCTCTCAACACATTCTTTGTTGAGGAATGAATGAATGAATGAATGAATCTTAGATCCGGTCCAAAGTGGCAATGCCTAAACTCTTAAGTGAAAAGTAAAACAACACACTGATTTAACTGGGTGGATCAACATACATGTCATTGCACAGGACAACCTAAAATATTTTAGAAAACACTCCTTTACTAAAACGTGTCTGCGCTAGAAGGGGAGGATGGGCTGGACCCAATATTCTTCTTCACAGAAAGTAGAACCTTTGGCCTTTAGCAAAATAATCATGTTTAATAAGTAAAACTTTCAATAATTTGCCCTTCCAGGCTAAGAACTGAAGAAGCTTTCAATGCCCCCTTTGAAAAGGGATAGCTTATTCTAATTGGTCTATTTGTTTTCTCCCCTTTCCCAGAACCCCACTTGCATATTCATCTTCTGTGATACCTCCACCCCCCATCCCCCAACAGAAGAGCAGCCAGGATATCGTCTTTTTTCAGGAGATTTGTGATGAAGGCCTCCCATCACATCGAGACAAGCACAAACCATCCTCCTGTGTGTCCGCTTTTGCCCCCGAGTGCCGTAACACTTAATCCTTACTGCTGTAGGGGTGAGAGCTGAACTTTGGTCAGCATAATATTCTTATTTCTTTCTTCCATTCCCTTATCTTCTATAGACTGTAAATTCCTAAGGTCCAAGGCTGAAGCTGAGTCTACTGTCTTTCCAATTCTCTGCTCCGTACTTAAAATTGTGCCATACACATAGCAGGCATTCACTAGATAGGAGTTGGGTTGAATTCAAACAAAAGCAGAGGACTGGCAATCAGAGCCGGTTCTCAGTACAGTTGACTCTGACCTAACTCTTCTATAAAAGGAAGGGGCTGAATTGGATGACCTCCATGTTCCCCTCCAGACTTATCTTGTAATCCAATCTAATCGAACAATATGATGCCCTCTTAGCGCCATGACTTGAGGTGTGTATATTTTTTTTTTTTAAAGATTTATTTATTTATTTTATTTATTTGAGAGAGAGAGACACAGTGAGAGAGGGAACACAAGCAGGGGGAGTGGGAGAGGGAGAAGCAGGCTTCCCGCTGAGCAGGGAGCCCGATGCGGGGCTCGATCCCAGGACCCTGGGATCATGACCTGAGCCCAAGGCAGCCACTTAACGACTGAGCCACCCAGGAGCCCGAGGTGTGTATATTCTAATACAATATAATGGGATAGGATTTGCATATGATATAAAGTGCTCTTTAAATAATCTGTCAGTCCACGGAGTCTCCATTTCCTACTATTTTGGCTGCCAAAGCTGGTGTCACTGGCTCCCTGCCCGGATCCCTTTACCAAGCCAGCAGCACCAGACCCCAGCTGCCACAAGTGTTGAGTCCTGAGGGCTCACACCTTCGCCCTTCTCTGGAGGACTGCCTTTGGCTGATGAGAGCTGCCTGTCCTGGAGATTTCCAGAAAGCCTTACCCCCCAGAGGCAGCCTGCAGCATATGATAAATTAATGTGGGTGTTTTCATAGTCTAACCCTCTTGCTTCTGCAGGGAGAGGGCTGTGGTGCAATTCACCCTCTAGAGCTCCCCATGAGATCAGGCTGAGGCTAGAACTCTCTTGAAACTACAAGTTTGCTGAGCTCCTCCCCTTCCTGTTTCTCTTTACTCTCTTCCCCTGAGACCTTATCCGCAATTAACCATTGCACAAAAATCTTTGTGTCAGACTACTTCTAGCAAAGCTGGCCTGAGACAGCTGCCAAGGAAGTGCTTTCTCTTTAGGTCAATCTCTCAGCTAAACTGCCCCATCTGACACTAGCTGCAAAGCCACCCCGAGGAAGTCTTGATAGGGCCTCTTCTTGAGAAACTGAATGTACTAACCCATCAACAATTCCCACCGCACAGCGCTCAGAAAGGGGCAGGGGATGACCATGGTCAGGGAAGGAAAATGGCGGCATCAGAATCAATCCCAGGTGTCAATCTCACGGCTGAGATTCCTACACAACAAAGAAAAAGTCTCCATAGTTGAGGTTATAACCCAGGGCCAATTTATTTCATTTCCAGTGCTAATCTTCAAAGTTGCATAAGCCACAGTAATTTTTAAGTTCTGTGGGGACCAAAGCAGGTTTCCCTGGGGAATCAGGGAGAGCTCAGAGAGGATGGCATAGGGCATCAGGCACAAGCTTGTTTTCTGGGTAAAGGAAAAGTAATGAATGCTCCTTTGGAAAAGAAGACAAAGGCGATAGTCCTTTCCCAGAGTAAAGAGAATTTTTACTGGATTACTTCCTACTTTTCCTAAAACCTTGGAAAGTTCTGAGATTCTCTAGTATCCCTAAGGGGCACGAGACCTGCTCCCAGTCTGTGACTTGTGGGAGATTTTATAGGGAAGGGAGGTCAAGGACAGTCTGAAAGCGGCTGGCCCTGAGCTGAGCTGGGACAGTGTGAGTCTATGAGTCTCCTTCTAAGTTTAAATTAGACAATTCTGGGTGACCATCATGTGACCCAAACAGGAACACCCCAGTCCCTTAACACTGAAGTAGTCTTTCAGGTGAGGAACCAAGATGGAGATTTAAAGTGCATGCATCTTTAAAAAAAATTAAAAGAAGGCGCCTCGGTAGTTCAGTTGGTTAAGTGACTGACTCTTGATTTTGGCTCAGTTCATGATCTCAGGGTCATGAGATCGAGCCCTGCGTTGGGGGCTCTGCCCTGAGCATGGAGCCTGCTTAAGATTCTCTCTCTCCCTCTCCCTCTGCTCCTCCTTCCCCTGTGCTCTCTCTCTAAAATAAAATAAAATAAAATAAAAATAAAAAAAATAAACCGTATGCATGTTTTAAGCCGACCTTTCTTCAACTCCCGGCGGATGTCATAGTTATATAATGTATAGTATATATTTTCCAAAATAGCTAAGTGGGCTTTTTTGTTTTATTGTGGATTTTTTGCAATTCCTCTTTGCTCTTTGCCCTCAGTTTAAACATGCTATTCCCACCTATTTTTTTTTTTTAGTCATGCCCTAGAATGTATGTAAAGATGACCTATGCTTGGCAGCGCCTCTCAGTCACCACCTTTAATGTGATTGTAGCAGCATGAAAACCACCGTCAGCCGGTGTTGCTTTTCTTTCTTTCTTTCTTTTTTTCTTTCTTTCTCTTTTTCTTTCTTTCTTTTTTTTCTTCCTTCCTTCCTTCTTCCTTCCTTTCCTTCTTTATTCTTCTTTCTTTCTTTTTCCTTCTGTGGCTGTGAAGGCAATGTCGTTCTCAGGCCTCCACCAGGATGCAGAGGATAACTGCTGCCAGACATTATGCTGGAGGCTGTTTCTTCCTGGAGGCCTCGTGCTAACTGCTCCTCAGGTCTGCCCAGAGGCCCTGAGGATACGGAGCACATCTGCTTTGCGTCAGCAGAAGGAGGTGGCCACAG